AGCAGCCGGGCGTGGTAGCGCATGCCTGTAATTCCGGCTACTTGGAAGGCTGAGGCGGAAGGATCACTGGAGTCCAGCAGGTCGAGGCTGCGGTGGCCGGGAGCAGCCACTGCATTCCAGTCTGGGTAACTGAGTGAGACTCCAACTCAACAAAAAAAAAAAGAGCACAGTCTCCAGCAAGACTGTTCTCATTTCAGGCACCAGCCACAAGTGCAGTGTCTCTAAGCCAGTCACACTTCTGAACAACTGGTTTTAAATTTAGGGGTTCCCATAATTCCCTCAGATTAAATATTTTTCTAGAATAACTCATTAAATTCAGAAAAGCACTATGCTTATGAATATAGCTTTATTTTATGAATACAAATCAGGATCAGTCAAATGAAGAGACATAGAGAATGAGATGTGGGAGGGTCCTGAATGCAGAGCTTCTGTGTTCTTTCCCCATGGAATGTGGATGCTTCACCCTCTTGGCTCATGGCTGTGTTCACTAACCAGGAAGCTCCACCAATTTTCAGTGTCCAGAGTTTTTATTGGGGTTTCATTACACAGGCATTATTGGTTGAATCATTGATCATGTGACTGAACTCCATTTCCAGGTCCCTCCTTTGCCAGAAGGTTGAGAGTCTGAGCTGATATCATGTGGCTCAAAGCCCCAATCTCCTAAACACATGGTTGGTCTTTCTGGCAAGACCTGCCTCCATTTTGAGTCATCTTGCTAACATAAGCTACCTGAGGCCCTCACCATAAGTCATCTCATAAGCTTAGACTATCAGGACTCAATATGAATAACAAAGATACTCCTATCACCTGGGAAGTTCCAAGGGCTTAGAGGTTACCTTACAGGAAAACAAAACAAAGACCACATTCTTCATTATACAAGTGGTTTGTGCACTGAAGGGTTGACTCAGCAGGTTTAAACTCTGCACATTTCAGAGGAAGTTCTGACCTCCGACTAGCCCTGAGAGATAACTTTTAAGTTACTGAACTACACTGCCTGATAAGTCTTTGAAACCTTGGGCCATGTCAGATATTTTATGCTAATAACATGATTTATAGCTGGGGCCTTTGGCCACCCAGTATCAGTTTGACCTCTGGGGACCTGGAGAGTGAATAACTAAGGTCAGCACATGGGTAACCACATAAAAACTCTGGACACTAAGACTCAGGCAAGCTTCTTTGGTTGGGAATACCTCGTGTATGTTGCCACATATTGTTACTGAAAAAGTTAAGTGCTGCCCATAAAAATCCACTGGGAGAGAAAAACCGAAAGATTGAGCTTAGCTTCTATGGGATTCTGTCTTATATGATTTTACCTTTGATGGTTTAATATATGTCCTTTTACTGTAATACACTATAACCATAGGCATAACCATTTGGTGAGTACTAGTGAACCACCAGCCTGATGTTGGTCTTAGGATCTACCAACACAATCGTCCTTCTATACATTTGGCAAACAACCTAAAACTTGGCAAAATACTTGATTGCACAGTTGCCTTGAAGTCTTCATTACAATTGCTCAGGACAAAAGCTATTAATTAACTCAGATACACTTTTTCCTTTCTATATTCCACAATTGGTCATGGGCAGGTACCACCAATTTATCCTTTAGAATTCATTCTATGCTGGGTGTGGCGGCTCATGCCTGTAATAACAGCACTTTGGGAGGTGGAGGCGAAAGGATTGCCCGAGTCCTAACTCTAACCCTAACCCTAACCCTAACCCTAACCCTAACCCTAACCCTAACCCTAACCCTAACACCAGCCAGGGTAACATGGCAAGACTCCGTCTCTACAATAAATCAAAAAATTATCCAAGAATGGTGGCGCACACCTGTGGTTCCAGCTACTTGGAAGGCTGAGGTGGAAGGATCGCCTAGTACAGTAGGTTGAGGCTGCAGTGGCCGTGAACATGCCACTGCACTCCAGTCTGAGCAACAGAAAACTCTGGACACTAAGACTCAGGCAAGCTTCCTTGGTTGGGAATACTTCATATATGTTGTCACACATTGTTGCTGGAAAAATTAAGTGCTGCCCATATAAATCCACTGGGAGAGGAAAACCAAAAGAGTGAGCTTAGCTTCTATTGGATTCTGCCTTATATGATTTTATTTAATAAAAATTAAATAAAAAATTAAAAGATTTAATCCATCCCCTACTGAACCCCTTGTCTCTGTCCTTAGCCCAAGCCTAAGTCTCGGCCTCTCCTGCTTGGAGCCCCTGCCCTCCTCTACCTGTTCCCACTCTGTCCCAATCACACAGGTCTTCTTCCCAGGCCTTGAACAGCACCTCAAGCCTTTGCATTGCAGTTTCCATGCCTAGACTGTCCTCTCCCAGATCTGCTCAGGGATGGTTCCTTCCACAATCCTGCTCAACATCACCACCACGAGACAACTTCCCTCCCCATCTTCTCTAATACATCCACTGTTCAGTCCACCAGCAGGTCCCCAACTTCACTTGGCTTCGAACGGTGCTTCCGTCACCGTTTTGCTTAAGTTACTGCTATTCCTGTGAGAGTTGGTAAAGCGGTTGATGTGGCAAGAGCTCTGTAAACCATGTGAAATGAAGAGTAGACAATGCCTGTGAGTCCAGGAGCAGGACAGGTTCAATCGTCTCTGTCATGTGGTGATGGAAACTGAGGCTCAGGAAAGAGCTTTGACTTGCTCTGCGTCACAGAGGGAGGATCAGGGTCAGGGCTTAAGCATAAGTGCTTCGGTCAGGCTCTTAGGTCCACTCTCACACCCAAGCTAGGAAACTCAGGCAGAAAGTTTGCAGGAATAATCCTGAGAACAGTCCTGCACAGTTCCAGGGACAGCTTGGAGCAGAGAGGGAGGGAGGGCAGGCTCCGGCCAGCAGGCTCCTGGACCGTGCATAGGCAGTGGCATCTGGTCCCAGGACGACGTCCAGTGCCTGGCATGGAGCCTGCTACACAAGGAAACCTACTTTCCGTCTTTTCTCTGCTCTTCACTTCCCTTCACTCTGAGGGGCTAACCCCCAGAGCTTGAGAATTTATCCCAGCCAGCCTTCCAGATTCCAGCCATCCTCCCCCACCCCCAGCTGCTTTCCCCACAGCCCTACCTCTCACAGGGCGGGGGTAGGGCCTCCTGGGACCTCAGCCCCAGCCCCAGCAGAAGCAGCAGGCACAGTTTCCAGGTCCTCCCCAGCATGGTGACCAAGACTGACTAAATGAGCAGGCCCAGGCACCTCCAGCTCACTGGGCACAGCCCGGCTTGCCTGCCTATCCAAGTCTGCCAAAGTCCAAGCTTTGAGGCGTGGCTACCTGAGGGGACATGCGCTTAGCCTGCATGTGGCCTGCTTGCCCCTCCTGGTCTCAGGGCACAGTGATCACCCTCGCCTTTCTGCTTTGCCTCTTCTGTTTCTGAGCCTCAGTTAGTACTTTCTGCTCAGGCTTTTCCCTCAACGTCATGGGGGTGGGGGTTGGAGGAACGAACACCTGGGGGACCAGGGACATAGTTAAGGCCACACATTTATAACCCAAATGCCTGTTCCTTAGGTGGCCCAGGACCATCAACTTCAAAGGGTTACCATTTCCTTTAACATTTCAAACGAATTGGCTCAAGACTCTGTCCCTGGTGTGTTGTGAAACTCGGGGACTCTCACTGGTATGTACAAGAGATGCTGTGGGGGCACAGGACAGCATAACCATCTTGTCTAGGGAGGAGTAAGCAAGACCTGCCATAGAGGTGGCATTTGCAATGGGTCTTGAAGATCGCTTGGGAGTTTGCCAAGGGAATGGACTGGAGACCATTACAATGTATGCAGAGCATATTAAGGAGATTGTGAGAACCTCAGCCTGGCTAGATAGAACTTGGCATTCATGCAGGGAAGGGTTGTAAGACAAGGCTGGAGAAATGTGTTGGCACCAGTCTGAATGACCTTTGCCAAGCCAGGGAGACAGCAGGTTCCTTAAAGTGGAACCAGCAGAGAAGCCTGTGAGCTCAAGTAGCGGGATTAGATTGCTTCAGAAAGCTCAACACCTCAACACTATGGAAGATGAGCTGTAGGGACAGAGGGTGAGGCAGGGCACAATAGGAGACTGTAGCAAAATGCAGATAATCAATGACTCCGGCCAGAAGTAAAACAGAGGAATTGGGGAGGAGTACCCAGGGAGGAGCTTACTTATAGCTGTTACCACTGAGTTCAGCAATTTATGACTCTCCTGTAGGACCCAGGCATACTGTTAAAGAAGTCTGTTATATCACCTAAGCAGTGTTTATCACTGTCAAAATAAAAACTTCAGACAAATTTAACAATTTTTTTCCCCAAAGAAATGAATCAGGCAGCACTCTGAACCTTTCCAGCAATGTGGGCGGGCAGTATTTATAGACAGAAAAAGGAAGTGCCCTAGGGGAACATCCTGATTGGTAGAGCATTTGCCTTATTTGGACATGTCTCAGCAGTTTGCAGCCTGCGATTGGCTGAGAGCGTGGCTACTATGATAGGCTGAGACTTGGGGCTTGGCTCCTTGTTACAAGAATAGATTCTCAAGGTTGCAGTTTGTTTACATATTAAGTTAGGTTATAGTTTACTATATTTGGAGGCAGCTTTAGGCCAAGTTTAATTTAATTTAATGTAACACCACAGACAAGTTGGCCCAGGCCTTGTGTTTTCCCTTGACAATGCTCCTGCCTCTTCCCACTAAAAAGTTACCATTGCTCTGGCAGTTTGCCCTCTTCCTTCCTGCCACACTTGATCTCCAGGTATTATATGCTTTCTTCCTTTTTTTTTTTTTTTAATTTTTTTATTGTAGCTAATTATACAAAAAATGTAAAAATTGGCATCTTAACCATTTTAACAATTCAATTTAATTTATATTACATCTACAATGTTGTTTAACCATCCTTACATTCCTTGGGTAAATCTTACTTGGTCATGATGCATGATTCTTTTAATAAACTATTGAGGCTGGGCGTGGTGACTCAAGTCTGTAATCCCAACACTTTGGAAGGCTGAGGCAATAGGATTGCCTGAGCCCAGGGTTTCGACACCATCCTGGGCAACTTGACGAGACCTTGTTTCTATAATAAATCAAATAACTAGCCAGGTGTGATAGCACACCTCTGCAGTTCCAGCTACTTGGAAGGCTGAGGCAGAAGGAGTGCCTGAGCCTAGCAGGTCGAGGCTATGGTGACAGTTAGTGTGATATTGCACTCTAGCCTGGGCAGCAGAGTGAGACTCCAACTCAAAAAAAAAAAGCTGTTGAATTTGGTTTGCTAGTATTTTCTTAGGGAAGTTTGCATCTGTACCCACAGAGGATATTGGACTGTCATTTTCTTTTATTGTGACATCTTTCTGCATTGGCTTTGATACCAGAGTAATTTTAGCCTCATAGAATAAGTTGGAAGTAGTACCACATCTTCTATTTTTGGAAGAGTTTGAGAAGAATGGATGTTAATTCTTCTTTAAATGTTTGGTAGAATTTACCATTGAAGCCATGTGACCCTGGACCTTATTAGGATTCTCCAGAAAAACAGAACCAGTAAAAGATATGTATGTTAGCTGGGCATGGTGGCTCACGCCTGTAATCCCAGCACTTTGGGAGGCTGAGGTGAAAGGATTACCTGAGCCCAGAGGTTCAAGATCAGCCTGAGCAACATGGCGAGGCTTCGTCTCTACAAAAAAATCCCAAAATTAGCCGGGCATGGCGGCACATGCCTGTGGTTCCAGCCACTTGGAAGGCTGAGGCAGAAGGATTGCCTAAGCCCAGTAGGTTGAGGCTGCGGTGGCTATAAGCATGCCACTGCACTCCAGCCTAGGCAACAGAGAGACTCTGACTTAAAAAAGAGTTATATATGTTACATACACATATATACATATACACACATGTGTATATATACATACATATGTGTATACATACATATGTATATTCAGGTGTATACACAGACATGCGTGTATTTATTTGGAGAGAGAGCGAGAAAGAGAGGTTTGAGAAGTTTATTTTGAGGACTTGGTTCACACAATTGTGGACATTGGCATGTCCAAAACTTCCAGGGTAGGCTGGCAAGCTGGAGACCCATGAAAGAGTTGCAGTTCAAGTCTGAAGAAGGCAGTGTACTGGAGGAATTCCCTTTTCTTCTGGAAGGTCAGTCTTTTTCAGATTAAAGCCTTCAACTGATTGAATGAGGCCCATCCAAATTATGAATGGTAATCTGCTTTACTAAAAATCTGCTGCTTTGCATGCTAATTTCATCTAAAGAATACCTTCGCAGAAAGCTCTAGAATAATGTTTGACCAACTATCTGGGTACTTTTGCCAAGCCATGTTGACACATACAATGAAACACCTTCTTTGTTGCAATTTTTAAAAAAATTTATTACTTTACTTTACTTGTTAGAGATCTATTGAGACTATTTCTTCTTTCATCAGTTGAGGCAATTTCTGCATTTCTAGAAATTTGTTTTATCTGGTATCCAATTTGTTGACAAACACCTGTTTATAGCATTCTATTTTCATTTTTGTAAGATCAACAGAAAGGCCTCCTCATTCATTTCTGATTTTAATTATTTGTATCTTCTCTCTGTCAATTTGGATCTTTTCAAAGAACTAGCTTTTGGGTTCGTTGATTCTCTCAACAGACTTTCTATTATCTAATTATCTTTGCTCTAACCTTTATTATTTCCTTCCTTCTGCCAGCTTTGGGTTTAGCTTGCTTTTCTTTTTCCAGTTCCTCAATATGTAAAGTTAGGTTATTTTAATCTCTGCCATTGGATTGGTGAGTTTAATCTTACTCCAGCATTTGGCTCCATTTTTTTCCAGCATGTCTTATGCTATTTTTATCCCACATTTCCTCTATTGTGCTTAGTTGATTTTTTTTTCTTTTGAGTTGAGGTCTCTGTTGCCCAGGACGGAGTACAATGGCATGATCACAACTCACTGCAGCCTCGACCTATTGGGTTCAGGCGATCCTTCTGCCTCAGCCTCTCCAGTTGCTGGGCCTACAGACATGTGCCACCATGCCTGGCTAATTTTTATTTCATTTTTAATAGAGGTAGGGTCTCACTATATTGTCTAGGCCGGTCCTGAACTCCTGGGCTCAAGCAATCCTCCGACCTTGGCCTCCTAAAGTGCTGGGATTACAAGCATGAGCCACCACACAAAGCCCACTTGCTTTTTTATAGTGAGTTATTTTGATTAACTTCTCAATTCCTTCTATGCATATTTTATTTTTATTTATTTATTTTTGAGACAGGGTCTCACTCTGTCACCCAGGCTGGAATGCAATGGCACAATCTTGTTCACTGAAGCTTCAACCTCCTGGACTCAGGCAGTCTTCCTGTATCAGCCTCCTGAGTAACTGGAACTACAGGCATATGTCATCATGCCTGGCTGATTTTTAAATTTCTCTGTAGAGATGAGGTCTCACTATGTTGCCCAGGCTGGTCTTGAACTCCTGACTCAAATGATCCTGTCACCTCAGCCTCCCATATTGGCTGGGATTACAGGTGTGGGTCACTGTGCTCAGCCTGTGTGTGTGTGTGTGTGTGTGTGTTTTTTTTTCTTTTTTTTAGTTGGAGTCTCACTCTGTTGTCCA